GACTCCGGTGTTATCTGTGAACACCGTGACGTTCCTCCCTAGCAGCTCCTTGCGGAAAACATCGATGGCAAGAGTGACCGCAAGCGCCTCGAGCTCGTAAATAACCGTCTCACGATACTCGTCAAAGCAGGTCTGCAAGACTTTAACTAGAGCACGGGGCACTTGCAACCCAAACCAATTAAGAAGGCGGCCTGAGCCATTGTACACTAAACCCCCTACACCACAGTAACCTTCGGGCTCAAAAGACGCATCCACGAAAACAAGCCGGGTGTCACCGAGCCCACGAGAAATCTCCCTCGGCTTGCCTTCAGCCAACCTTTCGCTGAGATATTCAAGCGCCCAGGTCAAGCGGTGGTCCAGCCCTGAACCCAGGCGACCCTTGGATGAGAAGGCGTGCACTGCTTGACGGGCCAACCGTCCGAACAACTGGCCGCTTGCAAACTGCAACCTTCCTCTGACCTTTGCCAACTCTCCTCTCTCGAGAGATCCGGCCGCCAAGATTGCACGAAGGGTGCCCCAAAATTTCATCCTTCCGGCTTTGTGTGTTGCGCATCAACAGTAACGCCCGCTTGGCCTGACCTAAATCCAGGACTATCCCTAAGACCTTACAACAGCTGCTGTATGGCACAAGTTTGTCCGTGGAAAGGCGCCACCCCAAAAGATGGAAGTACATACTGATGACAATTTCCATGTGCCTTGACTCCTCGGCACGGCACACATTCAAAAAGTCATCAAAATAAAAGGTCCAGACCACCTTCAGCAAGAGCACGGCGATCCTCCATAAGGCGAAGGCCGCCCTTATGAAAGCAGTCACACTCGCCTTGGATCCGAACGGAAGGACCAGCTGTCTGTACAGCTCTTTCTGCTTTGAGCGTGGGTTGTATATCCCAAAGAAGGCATCCCTGGCAAACGAAGGATCATCAAGAGGGAGTTGCTTGTATGCGGCATGAAGGTCCCAACATTTTACATGAAGGTCGCTGCCCCCACACTTCACGTGCTCAGCCTGCAACCAATACGAAACGGTGGCTGCCACGACATCGAGGCTATGAACTGGGACTTGCTCAGTTTGAGCGACAGCAGCATTCAGCAGGGACTCCCTATAATCATCGATGGGTCGCACCTTGGGGCCGGCATCCGTTTCGCCCTGCCGTACCCCAAAGCGCCTAGCGACGGTTTCATCTGGGGGCACACCCCCCATCGAGATGGGGCCACGCACATGGCCAGCCTGCACTTCTTTTTGTGTTGCCGCCAAAACACCCTCATCTATGACGCGGTCCGGAGAAGGCCCCAGCGTTCCGATGATGGCTTCACGAGACCGCTTGGCACTCTGCCTGAGATCCGACTCCGACAGCTCAGCCGGCCGGAACTTTTTCTGGAAGACTCCCAATTCGGGCAGCTTGCCCACAAGAGAGAAACCGTTGCACATGTCGTCGAACAGTCCCAGGTCTTCATGCCCTGACTCTTCTAGAAGACGTCTCAACAGCAATAGTCAGTCGCTTGTTGGAAAGAACACTCCTGCGATTTTCCGACATGACCCGTTTCAACTCCTCCTCCTTGGGCGTCAGCTCGTTCGCCCAGGCAATCCACTTTCTGACAGTGTCCGTCCGGTCCTGACACAAGGCAGCTACCCCCTGGCGAAGGTTGGCATTCCCTTAACTCTTGGGGCACGAGCTGCTTGAGGTGGCACGGGTGTTCTACCTTGGCAGCTTGCGCAACGAACTCTTCAGGGCTCCACCTGATGCCAAACTCAAGACTGAAAGTCACGTCAGGCAGAGGTTCAGGCGGCGTGGGAGAGGCCAACTTAAAACCTAGACCAAGCAACCTCCCCATATCACTAGGGTCAAGGCGGCGCAGATCACGAGGGGTCCATGCTACGAGCACAGCGCGACTCCCCTCCCAGCGTTCCGTGGCATGGAGATCACGCGGAGAGAACAGGATAGGCCCCTGCTCAAATCCATGCACAGTTCTGGCCATCAATCACCTTGACAGTCCTCCCAGAAGGGCACGACACCCACACTCCCCCTCCTGAAAAGTCACTGAGAGGGATAACTGCATTGCGAGACTCCTCAGCGCTGTGGCTATCCTTATGGGGTTCAGTCAAGATGTCACCAAACACCCCTACGGAGGCAAAGGTGAAGGCAGGCAGCTCCTGGCTCACATACCTGCATGCGAGAGTAGAGGTCCAGGGCAAGGCATGACATGCAGCGCGGAGGCCACAGCAACCTCCGTGAACAAAGGCTCCGGAAAACCACTGGAAGGACACATCGCTTTCTCCTCCACGGCTGCGCTTGGACCCCAACGACAACACAGAAAGTACCTCTTCTGCAGACAATCTCCGATTGGAGGACTGGTGGAGGAGCTTGTGATCGAAGAGGCGTCCCGGCATTGGCGATGCTGCATTGACCCCGGCCTACCTTAAGCGCCTGATGAACCCCTAAGGGAGGAGGAGGCGGCGGGAAAGGGAACCGGCACCTACATCAGACGCACTAGATTCCCTCGCGTCAGGCTCAAGAGATTCTTCCTCGTGGGCCGCACTGGGGAATGGGGGAACCTCGGGACTCGGGTCCTGGCGTGTCAGTCCTCAGAATGGGCGGGGCCCCTGCAAACTGGATTAGGCGAGCACGTGAGGAGGTTCCGCACGGTGGCACGAAATGCACGTAGACTAGGTTTGGCTCCCGGAGGAGGGAGCGAAAATGTTTCTGACCTGATGCAGTGCATAGATCGATCGACCATGGGACAGGATGCCCCTGAAGACTTACAATCGATCCCAAAACTATCTCGCATTCCTAACTGGCGAATGCAGGCAGTCAGGCGCCCTGACCCACAGAAAACCTCTATGCAAAAGGCATGCTCCATGAGCATGCCACGCAAACGTTGCTGGGCACGGTCTATGAAGGAAACCTTCTCATCCCCTGTGCGAATTGAACGAGAGGGGTCAGAGCGCCGTGCGTTTCACTTGTGATCCAGGAGGGAATGCGGCTTCAGGCAGCCAAGCTCACAACACAAATGGAGACCTCGGGAGCATGCCTCCCCGGGCTTGGCATCAGGGCAACCGCCCTCCATGTTGAACGCCCAACACAAGCGCTTTCCAATCAAGGGCTTGGGGACTCGAATCCTATTGCCTCCGCCCTTGCCTGTCTTGCCTCCATTGCCCTTGCCCTTGGTGGAATTGCCCCTGCCTTTGCCTGGGTTGTCATTGTCTGCCTCACCGAACTTCCTCTTGTTGTTGGGGAGCTTAGCTGGTGCCGGAGGTGGCTGCACGAGAGGAAGGAGGTGAAAGCTGACGCTGACATTGTCCAAAATCCGGGAGAAGGCGTCATCCAGAGTGCGTTGGACCAACTGCGAACGGTACCGATTCATAACCTCATAGCTACAGGCCCCAACCAAATCATAGGCCAGGGCACGGCGACGAAGCGCCTGCGCGAATTCAAGCTCAGTGTTGGTATCACAGGTGAGGCCGGCAGGCTTGTCTCGAACGGAGAGTGAACCACTTCCGTCTATCTGGAGTTCGCGGCCCGCCT